AGTAATAACAATAATTACATTTCATCACCTATCAGATCAGGGAGCCCAAGATCAGTGGTACATGTGCCGTAGATTGAGAACCACTGCTTTTAAGTGTCTACCAGGTCAAAGGTTAAAGGTTAAATTGGGTTTCAAGCCTTGGTTGTTGTTGTTTTTTCTGCTTTCAAGCTTAAGTCCTGGAAGCTGGGAAAACTAAAAGAACAGAGGACTGTATTGAGGAAATCCCTTCAAATTAACTTAATTTGATGTCATACTGTGTCACACAGAGGAGTAGATGTTCACACCCACACACACATACACACACAGACCATTTCAAAGAGTCCTATTGATCCACCAGCCGATGCTTATCTTCTACATCCTCCTCCTCAACCGTCCAGACCTGATATCATCTGAACAGACCCACAATCACACTTGGTCATCACAGATGATTCACCGGTCGATGCTTTTCTAATGGAAATCTGTGTGAAATAAAGGGCTAATCAGTGTCCTTTCCTTCTCCACGCAGCAGTTTTTTTTAACATCTTAGGATTACTAGTCTGAATATTAGTTGAACCGTTGGACCAGCATTCTTCAAAATACATTATTTAGGTGGACTATTGTAAATTATTATTTATATATAGAAATTAAATTCATTTGTAACCTCATATAATGCCTAGTATAAATGTGTTATAATAAAGTTTTATTGCCTTAAATCATAAAACTAAATGTTCTTTTGTAATTAAAAATGGTTTTCAGTTAGTTTATTATTTAAATCACATATGTTCAACATGTGGCTCCAGGGCCAACCCTGGCCAGTGTTCTGGGCGACCCCTTGTTTAAGTTCAAATATTTGGTGGTCAACATCACACAGCCTCTTTTCAGTCGAGTTCTTCGTCTCTGGGGACTATTTTACAGGGTCATTTTGGAAAGATGAGTTGGCAATAATCTAAGGTTTATGACTTTTATGACTTTTTTATAGCTGTTCTCAGCTCTGTTATACAGTAGCCATAGACAGAGTTAGTCATTCTTATAGGTGTATTGTGTTTACTTTTTAAAATTGTATCTTTGCTTATCTTTTTCTTTTCTTGATTTTTATTAATTACTTTTTTCACCCAACTTGCCCCCCCCAACATTTTGCCATCGATTGGCAGCATTGTTGCTACTGTATTGTTGCCAGACTGTATTTAAACTGTTTTTATGGAAATAATTTATTAACTCTGAATATATTATTTTATCAACTATTAATTTGAATAATACGGAACAGCAAAGTGTTGACTTCAGGCACCATAGAGACATGTCTCAGCATGTTACCATGGTAACTGTGTTGTCACTATGTTATTGGATTTCTTAGTTATATTTTGCAACTTGTGATTATTTCTTTTTTCTGTTTTGTGTCAGTCCCCCAACACATACCTTCATCAACTGGTATATTTTAGGTCTAAATAGTTATACTCTTAGACATCACAGAAGGAGTTCAAAAACCCTGCTCTATCAAAAACAAACGATTCAGTTCGTAATAAGTCGTATCGACTTAAAAATTGCCTCCATTTAAGTTGTCCTTGCAGCAGAAATGTTACGTCTAAAAACAGCCTTTCCCACTTATTTATGGTGCATTTCTGCCAACTCGTCCTCAGGCCCTCCAAACATGACAAAGTAGGTGAAACTGCAAGGTCTCTTTTGCAAATCAATCGCTCTGCCAGTGTTAGCAGCTGCTGCCGGGGCAAACGGAGGAAGTAGAATTCTGACTGACACAAAGCTGCTGCTGCTGATATTTTATTCCTCTGCAGCGACATTAACCAGGGACACAAGAGAAAGAGCGGTAAAGACACTGTTCAGACATCAGCATAGTGTGTATGGCTGACAAACTGTGAAGTGGGGAGCTCACACACACACACACACACACACACACACACATATACAGACAACACATCACAGAGACTCTGACAGCAGACACCTTTTGACTCACCTTTAATTTGAAGTTGAAAATCTTCATCACATGTTGAGCAATTAATGTGTGCATTTATTGATTTATCCATCCATTCATTTTTAATGGGCCACATATAAATACAGATGACAATTTTGCACCACATTCACACAAGCGGTTTATCAACGTGAAAACATCATGTTTCTTCTGTAAGACAACTACATAAGGAATGACCATCAGTAACCAGCAGGGCTTAAACCAGCGACCTTTTCGTTGTAAGGCAGGCCTGCTAACCACTAAACTTCCTGTGTGGGCTGTACAGTCTAATACTACTTATCCTACGCTTTTCTCAGCTAGCTTGTAGCCATATTTGAACTTTTACCTATTTATGGTTTTAAGTTTTTTACTAACTTCTGTCGTCTTTGTATTATTAGTATTTTATCACCTTTTTTGACTAATGTTAGGCAAAGGTCTTCACATTAACCTAGAGCTATTAAGTTATTAATAGCTATTAGATATTATATATATATACATACTGTATATACTGTATATATATATGTATGTATATATATTAGATAAATGCTAGGACTGCATGGCGTTCTTAGGAAATACTCTTTTTACATTTGTCTTTGTTTTGATGGAGCGGCGGTGTCCACTGGGACCACTCCCATGAACCATTGCACATCATTGTGTTATCCTCTGAGGCCTGTGTGTGCGCACACTTAGGTGTGTTAGAACTACGGCTCTGAGGCAATGACTGTATTTGTGTCTAAAAGAGAGACATTGCTCAAAAGATGACTCTCCCTCTCTCCCTTGGGAGATGGGGTCATCATATCTGGGCCGCGTTTGTATGTGAGCGGTGGTCGATGGGGTCCCCGCCCTTTCTTTCTGAAATGGTTCATTGAACTGTGACGCTAATCCGTGGGGACCCTCTCCACTGCGGTGACCCCCTTGACACAGCCATAGACAAACACACACAGACCCCTATCATCCATCATACTCGGAGGTTGTCAGTGCCTCGGTGAGATGGCCTCATGGGTGACCAGCCACCATCAGCCAATCAGAGCAGTGGCTGACATCAGAGTGTGGATGTGAGCCCTACATCCTAATGAATGTTTGTGGAAGAAGGAGCAACGTGTGACTATGGTTGTAAATGAAGTAAGTGTTGTCGATATCCCACCAATATATTGTCGCTGAATGACCATAGGCTCAACTACATACGACTTAATCAGGTGCACGAGAGGTCAGTCACTTTGTGAAGTGAAAGTGAACGTTAGCCCTGTTTCCACTGTCATTGAGGGGTTAGAGAGTTAGTGTGTTAAGGCAGTGAAGGATTTGGGTTTAGCAGCCTTGGCTAGCACAGATGAACTCTATGTGGATGCAGCATAACATTTAACTAATAGTGGTTTCAGAAGAGGCTACTGTTATGGTATCAGTGCTAAAGTGATACAATTCCATGTTGCCTGCTTCATACTGACAACAAACTTGCTTTAATATTTTACAATATGTCAGCTTTTTTTTTTCTAGAAAATCCATCACAAAAAGTTCTGCTTTGTACTGGTGTAAAACTGCTCTCAGACTGGAGGCTCCACTTGGACTTTAAATGACTTGTGAACGTCCATCCATTCCATGTCCTATTGCTGCTGCTGCTTAAACACAACTGTACTTTATAGCTCTCTGTAGTCCTGCACCAATGTAAAACATGTCATTTGGTACAAAATTAATAATAGTCAATGTTGTTGCTGGCCAATTGGAATGTTCATGTGGGCCGGATTTGGCCCCTCTGCCACAGATTGAATTTTTGTCTGTTTAATTTTCTATCTTTATCTTCTCAGAGTTGAAGCCTAAGTCAAATATTGACCTCTACAAAGGCTTACCTTTATACCTTTGATCAGAGTTTTCAGTCCTCTGGCCTCAGAGAGCTCCTGTGACCTGCAGAGAGCCAGAGGGAAAGTTGTTGTTTTTTTAACCTCCACTCCATGTTTGTGTGTAGTGTGTAAATGTTTATATATCTGCCTTGTGTATCCACTGCATTATGTGCAATTTGGGCATATGTATCTAAAGCAAACACAGTGTGAGTGTGTACGGCCCATCTGAGAGATAGTTTGGCTGGATATAAGTGGTGTGTATGACTCCCCTGTTGCAGCGCTCCACCCCTGCTTCGCTCTGTTGGGATCCTGACCTCTTACACTCTCATCCCCCACTTTAATAAACAAGTGTATGGCTCCCAGGACCTTCTCTCGCCTCCTCATCTCCTCCCTCCTGACTTTTTTTCTTGTGCTCCACCCCCCTCTCCCCCACCCCTGCACCTCTTTCTTATCTGAAGGTTTATGTCAGCTCACCCCTGGCTTACTCTGCAGTAAATTTTTAACTCAATGAGACAATTCCTGGTATCCAGCACTTTTTTTTTCTTCCATGCCAGCATCAGTTATCTCCACGGTTACCATCCAATTACACTCCGATTTTTTTTAATCTTAACTTCTGTCTTCTGTAAAAATTTGAGTTTTTATTGGTGGGGACATGAGCCTAAGGAAAAGAGACAAGTGAATAATTAAAGGTGTCTTACAGGTCTGAGGATGAAAAAGTGTTTAACCGCCGTCTTATCTGATGCAGACACTGCTGTAACACCTGCCACTAATAAATCAGTTCCAACAATTCTCCTGGTAACCTTCTCCAACCTTTGGAAGTTGGAAATGAAAACCGAGTGACGTTCTTCAGTTGATTCAGACTCTGACCTGGAGAGACACCATCAGGTGTTTGCGTCATGAATACAATGTTTTTTTGGGCTGCAACATTTTTGGGGGGCTTGCTAAATGCTGGCCTTATAACTTCTAGGTTGATAAACCCCCAGAACCTCTCATCCAGGATTTACCTACACTAGGTCTCTATTAATAAACTGACTTGTTAGCCCTGCGGTGCGTCCTTTGAGAGTGATTTATTTTTCTACTGTTAAAGACATCAGCATTCTTTTCTCTCTCTCTCTCTCGTGCATAATTTCAAAAATCCATCCAGCTATATCTGCCAGTCCACTGAGAGCTTCCTCGCTCTGCCTTTTTCCGCTCACATCTCACGTTCTCCTTCTCTTTCTCATTTCCAGGAGTGTCCTCAGATCCTTCCTTCCACCCAGATCTATATCCCTGCTGGAGTCATGAGGCCCATCACGCTGCTGGCTCAGAACCTGCCGCAGCCTCAGTCTGGCCAGAGGAACTACGAGTGCATTTTCAACATCCAAGGGAACACGCAGTATGTTCCGGCGCTGAGGTTCAACAGCAGCAGCATCCAGTGTCAGAAGACCACGGTAAGACCAGAGCACTGCTGCTGGAACACTAAGGAGTGACATCACCAATGTCAAATTGAAGTAATTAATATAATTGCTTAAATTGAACAAGGCGGCGTCTTTGAATCTGTCTGGAGCCTCTTGGTTTAGGACAGGGCTTGGTTTTAGGTACATAGTTGAGGCAGGAGCAGTGGTGTAACAGCCCTTTACTTAGATGTCGTTGACCCAAACAAGCTGGAATCTTCTCGTTTCAACTTTTCTATCTGCCTTTTAGCCCCTCAGTCAGACTATCTTCATTAATAGGGAACGGTATTTTCGGCAGTGTTAATTTCCCCCCAGTTCCAATCAGGCCATCAGACAGAGGGGGGGCTGTTTTAATGGCACCAATTATAACTTACTTAACGGCACGTTATTTATTTATTAATTTCTTGCTCGCTCTCGCTGTGATGCGTCACAGCCTTTAACAGACGGTGGGAGCCAGCGAGGGGCTGTGACAGAATCTGTCGCCCACATTTTTCTTTAGCTTGTCTCACATTCGTCAGATACTGCCTGTTTATCTAGCCTGTTTCTGCTGCTGCTGCTGGTCAGCCTGTTGTCCCTGGTCTCAGACAGAGTACGTTGCTGAGCTAAATCCATTTGATACATTTAAACTTCCCCCTGACACTGAGTTTAGATCAACAAAGAAGAAAGGTTGGGCTCCTGAACCAAATTCTGTGTCTGATATAGGAGGGTGACATGGAAATAGTTAAATGGTCCATGAGTGAAGTTGATTTGCATATTTCTAAAAGCAGCTCCTGGAGTTTTTTTGTGCTTAAGACGATGTTAATTGTGCCAATTAGTCTGATTTGCTATCAGATCTCTGTAAATCAGTTCTGCTGGCTTTCATTTTTAGAAGTTTATTTGATTAGCAGGTAACATTTTACCTCAGTGATCTGATGTCGTAGATGCATAACATTTGTGAAATAATTTGAGCAGATTTATTCAAATCTATTGTAGAAAATTTGATATAAATGACTTAGTTATAATAACCTCTTTACTTATTTCAGATTTTAACATTACACGGCCAGAACCCGTTAAAATAAACAAATATTTATTTTTCTTTACAGATACTGAGAAGGTAAATATATATATAAATTGACAAATATATTAGTTAAATCATCATCGCCTGCTTAGTATTAAAATAATTATCAAAAACATTGTCAATCTACGAGTTGCAACCAGGCGCTTACTGGCGCCTCCTCTGGCAACCTGTGTTGGTTGCAAAGACTGGCACTATATATTTTCCAATTATGGGAAATAGGGACTTTATTATTATTATTATTATTATTATTACTTTAGCAGTTACATGTTATTGTAGCACTGTCTAAAACATGTGTCTAGACCAGTAGATGTTGTTAAATCCCATGCCTTGTTCTTTTATTAATGAAAGATCTGCTTGTGCAGCTCTGCTGAAAACAAGTGCTCCACATTTTTTATTTTTCCTCCCCCTTGTTAAATTGTTAGGTAGTTTAGATTTTTTTTTTGTCTCCCAGAACAGCAGTGCAACAGTGATTGATGCACAAACACTCATTGTTCATCAACATTCTGGAGGAGAGTTTTGAAATACAAACAAAAATGTTTCATTTTTGTTTGTATTCTGCACACATTGCATATTCTATTCCCAGTGTTTTATTATGTGAAAAAGCAAGGAAATATATGGAAGGAATAGCTGATGCAGTTGTTAATGAAGCAAAGCCGTCTGTGTGTGTGTGTGTGTGTGTGTTCAAGCCTACATCATTCACACGTGTTGTAAGCGTGTAATCCTGTATCTCCCGTCCTCCTGTCCTCCTGTCAGGTGGGACTGTGATAGGTTCCAATTAAGGGAGCTGTAGATAAAATGATGATGAATTGCACTGGTGCAGGAGACCGATGGACACACAGTGTTACACACACGCACACACACAGTTTGGTGCACTACTGAAGAGAGAGAGAGCACAAAAGATGAAAAAACCCAAAGAGAGACGATAAGGGAATTTGACACAGACACTGACTGTGCAGCACAAAGTCTGATTAAGGATAAAAAAGAAGAAAAGAAGGAATTAGAAATAAAAAGTGGAGAACTGAGAAATATCAGTAGGCCTGGGATATTTAACACATTACACCAGAGAAAATAAATAAATGAATGAATGGGGTAGATACAGATGGAGTCAGAGAGAGTGATACCCAAAGACAAGGAAAGAAATGATCTGTGCAGAAATGAAAGTAAGACAAGATTAACAGAAGCAGCAAAGGGTGGAATCATGGCAGGCACATCAGGTATGGTGCCTATTCTGATCTCTAGTGTACAGTGATCTTGCGTCATGTTTTCTGAATGGCCAGTGATGTTTGGATTCTGTAGCAATGCTGCCACCTGCTTGATTTGTCTTCCATCTTGTTGTGGCATCAACAGAATAAAAATAACATAAGCGTTTTTTGCCAAATATGTATTTTGAGACTCCCTTCCAGTCTTCCTTTTTTAGATAACTAGGTGTGCACAGCTGAGTGTTTACAGTGTTTGAAGGCATCCAAAGTTGGGATGCATGTGTGAAAAGCAGATTTTGTCTGTCTCACAGAGTCCAGGCTCCATCTGGAAAACAATCTGCTGCTGTAGCTTTTTGACACTCATTGAACACATGCAGAGAAAGGCCAGGGCACGGAACTGAGCGTAGTACAAACGACAGGACAGCCATGCAGTATTATTAGGTGTTACTTCTGCAGTGCCAGAGACACCGTCATCACCAGTATTTCTGAATGGCAAATATAGCTGTGTCTGAAATGATGCCAAACCGAGACCAGGCAGACTTAGAAAAGTTTGCCAAGCTATTTCAGTAAAAGCAGAAATATTTGCAAAATATGTAAATACAGGTTCTAATATTAGGATTATTCACTCAGAGTCATGTAGCAGGAGTTAATGCTGAGGTTTAGCTTGATAAATGATCCATTAATGATTGAGTGACGAAACACTGTTACTATTGTCTTCTGTATTCTCAAGGCCAGTCAGTGTGTTGTGTTTCACAGCTGGCTTAGACAGCAACGCTAGAGTGTAATAAATCACATTGAAAATTAGCCAGCAGTAGATGTACACTCATCCATTCAATCTTACTGTCTCCCTGTGTATTATTTAGCCCATTGCAAATGCTGAAACATTGAACTTGCATACTCAAATACTCCAGGGACCCAAGTATGCATGGGTGCACAGTGGGATGTTCACAAAAAAATGTGATGTCGCTTTCACACACACAAATATGCACATGCACAAACGCACACAAACATGCAGAATTGCACAAATAAGGGATATACAAGCCGCGTGAAATGGATACCTACTGGTTTGTTTCACGGGCAAATACACACACATTCCCCAGGGGTTTAGAAACCCAACGTGCAGCCGACATATGGAGATTCTCCACATGATGCTCTTCCTAATCATGTGGAGCGTACGGAGACTGTATCATCAGCAACAACCAGCATCCTGCTTTACATGATTTATTGCTCTGACACTGGCTATCAAAGGCTGCGTGTGCGCATGCAAACACAAGCGTGTTGCTTCCTGCTGGAAGTCCATTAAGTAGTGCAATAAAAACGAAGAGGTTTTTTTGTGTGTGTGTATATTCCCAGCTTTCTAGTCGTGACTTTTACTAACTTCCACAAATGCTGCAACACTTATTGCATCCAGTATGTGCAGCATGCAGTGAACTACAAAGTCACTTGTCACTCATTTATTTATTTATTTGTCAGTGTGCATCGCAGTTTTAAAGCAGAGATCAAGCTTTAAAAATGTGTAAAAATTTTATTTTTTTTTATCTTGTGTTTGCATTTGTAAGGGTATTAAAACCCCTAAGATATAAATGAAAAATATATTTTTTCAAAATATTGTTTTGACGAAAAAAGTTTTATCTGAATCCTACTCAAGTCAGAAAGAATCATGGTGAAGAATGAATAAAACCAAAAAACATTTAGAGAACCTTGTGAAAAACTGAGGTGTGGCAGTGAAGTACACAAGGGTGGTGTATTACATGTCTGAGGAGAGCAGTGATGGCATAGAAGTGACAGATAAGGACGGGATCAGCATACATACATTAGGGTTGTCTCAAAGGTTTCATTGTTGTTTGCAGAGGTGGTGAAGTCTCAGTTAACCACAAATTTTGCAGATGAAATAAGGACGACACACACACACGCGCGCGCATCATCAAATATGGAACACAGCTGAGAGTGAAGTGAAAGGAACCAGAAATAATTAACACATTTGATCTGACAGTTTTTAAAGTCTTTTGTAGTTTTACCACTAGGGAATCTGTTTCCTGTGTGGAGAAGATTTTAGCAGATTTTAGCAAATACTCTGAACAACAGATGTTGGAGAAGGAGCTGCTGGGCACAAAGGAACACTGAGAGGATTCATGGACACACAGTGGGTAATATAAGAAACAAATACTGTAATATTGTACTGTATATGAATATTACGGCCAAGGCAATGGTTAATACGTTCAATTATTAAACACTAAGTTTTCATTAATAAATCCATATTATACTGAAGTGAATGAAACCGAATCTGGAGAATGGTATCTGTGTACATGTGTGTGTATTTTTAACACACAGACACACTATCCTTCAGTGTATCCTTCAACATGACTAATTACATGAGTGTGACCCACACATGGACGCGTACACATATGCACACGCCTCTTTTTTCTCTTCTTCTCCCACTCTTAGCAGCCAGCTGGCCTGTTTTGTTAACATTGGCAGTTTTTAGTTCACTCCCATATGAACACACACACCCATACTAACGCGTACACACTTTAGCCATATCTATTCATGCGGTCCGCTGAGACATGCGGTCCATGGAGACGATTCATGTAGCAGGAGAATAAACGAGTGCAGGAGCAGATAACAAATGAACTGTAGCCAGACTTGTGTGTTACTGTAATGAGGCCAGGGACGGCTTTGTGCTCACCTTGTACTTTTTTAACACCTCCTCCTCCCTCCCTCTACTCTTTTTCCCCTCTTGTCACCTCCCCTCTTTTTCCAATCCTCTCCACCCCCCCTTATGCCCTTCCTCCTCCTTTATCTCCTCCTCTTTTGAGCGCTGCTCTTCAGCACTGTCCTCTACTCCTCTTTTTACCCAGTGTGCTTTTTTCGTGCTTTTCAATCTCTCCTCTAACTATTTATGTCTTTCTCTTGTCATCCTTTATTGGCTCTCACTCCTGTTCCATTTTTCCCACCTTGCATCCTTCAGCCATCCAATTTGCCTCTCATCCTTTTCCGATACCAAACCTCTCCTCCTCCCCCCTCCCCCCTCCTTCACTCTCTCCTCTCCTCACCTCCTATCCCGACGGGACTACACTATAAGTTGGCTCAGGTAGATTAATTACATGCAGTGACATGAAGGAGTTGGCCAGAGGCTTCAGTAATGAGTCTGATTACTCATCTCCAGCAGCTTTGGGCACTCAGGGAAGGAAAGTCAGGCCAGCAGGCCAACAGAGAGGCCTCTCAGTTTGGGAAGTGCAACTTTCACCTTCCTGCTTCCACCAACGCAGATGTATTAAGAGCTGGGCTGCCGACAATTTAACATCAGAGCTGCCCTGAAAGTTAGTGACACGCTGAGGGTCAGCAGATGCTCATGTACCCAAAAGGTAGGACAGAGGACAAAGGTATCGTTTAGACAAACAGCTATCATCTGTTCATTTACTGTACACTGCATGTTTATAAAAGAGGCTCAAATCCAAGCATCTCAAATCTCCAATAGATCATGGCAAAAGCCAAGTAAAGGAGGAATCCTAAATGGCAGCCAGCAGAGTAACCCCAGAGAGGAATACCTGGGAGACAGAAATATAATTGCAGGCAGAAAATGTGGAAAACGTAACCCTGGATGATAAATCATAAAACAAAGGACGGATACAGTTCCTCATTAAGCCCTGGGAGAGATTTTCATTTTTTTTACCCAAGAAAGATGATGTTAGTTGAAATATTGAACTGTTTCTACTGTGTGAGTCAATGCTGGACAGAGGTGAAGCTGGGATGGATTTAATGCACTTTGATTGGGTATACAGTACAACTGAGGTCAATAGATCAGTAAAACTACTCTCACAAACTGTCTGTATTATTGATGGATAACGGTTTGTATTTATAGCATCAGTTTTTGCAAATTGCCCGAGTTTTTATTTTGTTTTGCTGTTAGCAAGCAGTTTAACCTCACCAATCTTTCTGGTCCGAGGTCCAAACAACTACATAGCTAAAACTTGCGGTTGCCAGGATCCCTTACATCACCAGTTTCCAAACGTTTTCGTCACTCTCCATGTTGAACAAGTGGGGAATTTCAAGCCCCATGGGCACTTGTGCCATCATCACTTGAACCTTGAAAAATGTCCTGCCCCACCAATCATGTCTCTGTTGCCCACCGGTGGGGCCCGCCCCACACTTTGAGAAGCACTGGCCTTACATGCTGCCTCCATATGTATTATGTATTTTGATCAAGGACACACTGGCATCTAGGTTAGAGCAGCTTTGGGTGGGAACATCCAACCTTGTGTTAGGTAGACCATGCACTGTGACCTACGGCTGCCTGTAGGGCAGCGCTGTAACTGGTGAGACACGAGAGTGATATGATTAATTATTACTATACAATTCTACTTACATTCGAGGTCCTGAGAGAGTGAATCCTACACACAGTGATTATGGCTGACTTCTGCTCAACCTGCCTAAAGCTCATCTTCTTCACCAAACGTGTCCCCCAGGAAACCAGTCAGACAGCAGTGGTGCTCGGGGTTGCCCTGGTGACACATAGGGTATTGTTGCCATGTCACGGTGTGGTTTGTGTTGGAGTTTTTAAATCATGTGACACCATGAATTAAGCATGATGTGGCGGGCAGCGCCTGACAGGAGAACAAGCTCAGCCAGTGTTTTTGGTGATGGCAAACAAGTTAAGAGTGTTAAAGTTTAATAAGGGCCACACCGCAGAGAGGGGAGGAGTGGGGGGTGGGGTGGGGGGGTAGCTGCCATAGACATCTAGAGGCAGTGGGACTTCATATTGATGCTAATAAAATCAACAACCCACCTCATGTGTGACAGATGTAAGGTCACACACAACTGGTGGGAGGGAAGAAGACCAATCAGCTGCCTCTTTGCGGTAAGACAGTGTTTTGGTTAAATCCCTCAGCTCTGGAGCTGCTGACCTCCCAGAATCCTGTGGTTTCAGTGGCCTGTACTCCTCTCAGTTTCTTTGTGTCCCAGGAGACATTTCGACTTCCCACAGTGGGCCTGTCTACAATGTATCCGTTCTGCGTTCTGTCCTCCGCTCTGCCAAAAGGCTGTCAGATTTTATCTCAAGTTCCACAATCTGTTCAAAGTTGAGGGTAACATGTTATATTTGAGGGCTAGAAATGCAGCTCAACTATGCCTCAGCCTGCCTGTGGTAGTTTCTGTGTGATCCATTTGAACTTTGAACTCCAACTTTGTCCCATCAGTACAAAGAACAGTCTGGTGTCGACTGTTTTGGTCTTACAAACCAAGCTTAACTGTGCTCATGTCAGACCTCAGATATGGTATTAAGCCACTAAGCTTAAATGGATAAATACTTTTCCACTCACTGAGCGTCTATGTGACTGCACATGCAGCTTATACTGGCACATTAAATGACGAGAAACCCTATCAAGACGTTTGTATTTGGTTTTCCTGTTTGCAAGAAAGCTCTATGATCTCCCTGGGTTCCCAGCAGTGGCTGAAGTCTAAAACTAACGGATCTAAAAAAAGAGACATATTTGATATGAGAGTTCT